TTACCGGGCATGTATATATATATATATATATATATCGCGCCCACCTCCACCCCGCCTGAAGCCACCGCGGGAGTCCCAAGTTCCACAAACAACTGAACCGAGCGCGCCGCCCCCCGAAATGTTCTTGAGCCCGAAGGTCTTGGGTTAAGCTGTACAGCAGAGCCCATACCTAGAGCCTGACTGAGCTTAAGGGTTTGGGGTTTAGGGTTTAGGGTTTAGGGTTCTGGGTAATAAGCCGAAGCAACAGCTGTACTGCTCCCAAACAACCTTGACCCACTCAAAGCTCCAGGAAATGTCATGTCTCCTTGGTGAAGTGCGGTCGTCGGATCACCAGACCCTCTGCCTCAGAAGCCTGGCAGTCCATGCTGAATTGCACACACACACACACACGCAGACACGCTGAGGCGAACACACTCTCGGTTTCATACATATAAACATACATACGCATGTTCGCACACATAAAAACCACGCATATGCATATGCGTTTGCACATAGTTATGCATTTGCATTTGCACATGCTTATGCACAGATGCACGCATCCATGCATGTGCACGTACAGATGTGCACATAAGATACCTTTGCACACACTCATTCCGTCTCTCGCTCTCTCCGCCTTTCTGCTTCTCTCGGTGGCGCTCGCTCTCTCTCTCTCTCTGTTCATGTTTGTTGCTGCTTCTGTGATATCGCTTCTCTCCTGCTTGGTGCTACTAGCACCATCCACAGCACCGCCACCAACACCGCAACGGCAGCACTGTGCAGACGCGACCGGTCCCTTGCCAGTCAAGACTTAGAAGACTCGCCACAGAAAGCCTTGAAATGCTAAGGATTGTCTGAAAGCTTCAACTGAACTCGGGACCAGGCCTGCTCATACATCGCAAAAGTCGGAGAAGGAATGATCACCTGGCGACATTGAGTTGCAGCTTTGCTGACGATGTGAGACATCTTCGAGAGGTTATGCAAGTTCTAATTCCAAAGAGCCGCTTGCATTTTAGCTCTAACTCGCAGCCCCGAGTGGCCCCGAGATCCCGAAACCCCCTACACCCGAAACCCTCAATGTCGAAACCCGAAAGCCCTCAACCTCAATAAACCCAAGAGCCCTGAGCCATTCACTTACAAGAGCACCTGTCCATGGGTGGGTAATCACACGTTGGGTTATCGTTTTTTTTTAGCCTCTGTACTTTCGAGCAAAACTTAGGGCAGTTCAGCCCCCCCCCCCCCATGTGTGGGGTCAAAACATAGCTATAGTTCTCAATTAAACCTTAAACCCCAACCCTAAACCCTAAACCCTAAACCCTAAACCTTAAACCCCAACCCTAACCGCAAATCCCCACCTCCGATCCTTTCTCGCAGCAGCATCGGATGACCAAGTCGATACCCTGGTCCGAGCCTGTGTGATTGGCGGTTGAGGCTTTAGGGTTCAGGGTTCAGG